CACGTCCAATTAACGCAGCATTATCGGCGGTGTCATGCATCGTGCATGCACGCAGGAAGTGTTAAACCCTAACTGAATGTATTATGGGTGGATGGGGTGGGCTTACAGGCAACGCAAGCGCGCGACCAGGGGCGTTTCACGCCCGAGCGCGCGACCTTGCCTGCACCCTAGACCCTAAACCCTTATCCCTAATCCCCAAACCCAACCCCATACACACACATACTTACTCTAGCAGGTCTCCCGGGTCTGTTGCGGCCACAACACAGGCCGTCAAGCGAAGCCTTGGATGTTGTACTTGGCTGAGGTTTTAGGGTTCTAGGGGTTAAGGGTTTAGGGCTTCGGGTTTAGGGGAGGTTTTGGGTTCTAGGGTGCTACGGGTTTACGGTTAAGGGTGTAGGGTCTAGGGGTTTGGGGTTTCATGCCTGTAGGATATCATTTCATGACTAACCTCACATAATTTAGGTTTGAGGATGTCGCTATACTGTCCAATTATCATGTCTAACGTTGTCCATACTACGGGGGTCGGGGCACTTCAGTATCTTTGTTAGCCCAAACGCTCAAGCCCAATCTAGGTTAAGCTTAGGGGGCTCAAAAGGTAGGATGCAGGTAGGTTGGCTAAAGGATTCCTATGGTAGCTTGAGTTCTGTTGGAGCTTATTTCCTATACCTCTCCTTCATGTACTCCCCTTCTGAGCCATATGATAAACCTTGGGTACTGCCCTCACCCAGTAACAGTCTATATTAGGGAGCTATATATATATATATAGATGCCCAGATTATAATTACGATCCAACTGTTATTGAGTGGGGGCAGTATCCCAGATAAACCTTGTTATGGGGATCCCCGAAAAGGTACCCCTAATTTTGGGAAACCCTAAATCCCAAACCCTATATAATCCCTATAAGCCCTTTTAAGGTATCCCTACTTGAATGATGTAGGATGCTCTTAAAGTGCAACCCAGGAGCAAGCATGGGGGAAACAAGGAGAAGCTGAACGGGGCTACAAAAATGGTGTCCACGTAGCATGCCACAAGGTACTGCTCTTCGGAGCCATACCTGTAATGGTGGTTTAGGGTTTAGGGTTTACAGTTGGCCCCCCACCCACTAATAGAGACTACAAGAGGTAATGATAATACCACTATTAGTTATTAGTGGGTGGGGGCCCAACCCAAGGCATACCTGTAAGTAATGGAGAATCAAACGGAAGAGAAAGTGAGCATGACATTAAAACTGGGCAAATTTGAGGGTTGATAGGGATTACAAGGTTTTACCGTTCTACCCTAGGTTCCCTTGAACCCTGGTAGAAACCTGAAACTCGGCTGGGTCTTAGGAATACAGATAATAACAGTAACAAAAAATCACGTTCATGGGAACTTCCAGATACCCCAGCTTGTTGTGCAGTTGCCGGGAGGACCATATCTGTACCACATTTGATAGAACATTCGGCAGGACAAACAGAAAGCAATGGCTGAATGACAGTTGCGTCTCAACGCCCAAATCCCAGACCAGCATGTCCCGAAGTGAATAACGCACATAGTCGTTGAATTCGTCAAGGCATTGACCGTGGTCAAGATATGTTGTGACCGATCGCAAAAGTGACCTCGTGGATGTGGATTCGACTATTTCATCTGTACCCTCTGCAACCTCCACGCAATCATCTGTTGCATCCACGGCCACAGCCAGGATTGGGTCCTCGAGTCCATCAAAGAGTTCGGCGACATGCTCCTCGATTTGGTCACGATCCCGCTCAATGGAACACTTCGCAGATCGAATGTTGTAGGACCTGTGGGTTTGTGATCTTAAGCTCCATTTATGGGTCTCTTCAACACGCATTACCGTATTTTGTAAATACTATACCGAGCCCTATACCCTGAAACCTAAACCACTTAGGAATTTGGCAAATGGCCTCATGTCTCGTAGCATCGCTTCGTGCGCGAGAAGCTTCCGCGGAAAAGTCACAACACTTGCCTTGGGCGTTACAGGAACTCCACAAAGCTATATTATACTATTATATTATACTATAGTATACTAGATCTTACTATATTACACTATATCATACTATATTATAATGAAATATACTATATCCTTATGCTTACCTGAACCCCAGAGTAGATGAAATCATTGGCATCGCTGGCTCCTTTTAATGGGTCTTGGGCAATTGTTCACCTACTTGAGGGGTCCAGGTATGGTCCATGCAGCTTAAAGAGGATTATTGCAATGTAGGTATCATAATACCATTTGTTCATCACGGCTCATTGCCGTAACCCCTAAACCCTAAACCTTGACCAGAGATTCAGGTGCGAGGAGAAAGGAAATGGACGCGAGCAAAGCCATGGATGGTGTTGTGGCCATGTACCTTAAGGCACGGTTTAGGGTTTTGGGTGCAAGTCTCGATAGTATGCAGCAATGTCGAAAAGAAAATCGGAACAATCATTCCGGGCATTGGTTGTGTAGGCATGGAACAGAATGGCTATTTCTATGTGCCCATTCCCCATATTGATCTAAATACGAGTAAGGAACGCAAGTATGCGGCTGGCTCCATAAGAAAGTGGGGCTTCCTGTGCTGCACGATCGTAGCTCAAAGCAACCATACCCAGATCCGGTTCGTTGATTGCTATCATGACCTTGGTAGCCCAGCACCCATATCACAATAAGGGTACGCATTTTGTTTTCCAATTTTTTACTGAACCCAGAAACAAAAAATGCAACTGGGTACCACCGGGCTTCCCTAGACCCTACCTAGAAAGCCATCTTTCCTCAAAATAATAAGCTACTTTAACCCACAGTAATAGGAAATTGGGGGGAAAGTAGCCTATAATCATGGGCTTCTGGCTCTCAAGGTAAACCCTAAACCCTAAACCTTCCGAGTGGCAAACGCAGATAGTCGCATGGTAATGTAAGAGGAGAGCACACTGGCCAACAGCCACGGTGCCAACCTACTTGAAGGCCCATGGGACTTAGTAACTACTTATAACTGGGATTATAACCCTACTGATACTTGGGCTAAACCCCTTAAGCCCATTTAGAGGAATTCTAAGTAGGGTTATAAGCCGAGTTATAAGTAGTTACTAAGTCCCATGGGCCGCCAAGAACCCTAACCTAAACCCCCTAAACATAAGCCCACGCCCTCCAACTAGCGACCCCAAGGCTTCGGGTTTAGGGTTCAGGGTCCCTTCCTAAGGACATAAATGCGGGCTTTGTAGAGACATGTAGGGTTTAGGGCTGAGGAAATCCTCGGTTTAGGGTGTATAGGATAAAAGTTTTAGGATTTGGGGTTGTCCAGGGGCCTAAAGAGATGCCAACATCCGTTTGAGGACCTTAAGCCTTGAGCTTCTACACTTCTACACTTCAGGGGTCTAGGCATGCGAGCATGAAAGGTTTGGGGTTTCGGGTTGTAGGGTTTTAGGGTTTAGGGCCCATGCAGCTTAAAGCAGCTTAGGAATGATGTGTAATCGATTCCGCCTACTAATGAATTAGTACCCAGGATTTAGGGTTTAAGGTTAATATATTACCATTTCTTAGGGGGAGTTGTCGGGATATTCGGGGAAACATCATTACTTTGGGTGGGTGGGTGGGTGGGTGGGTGGGTGGG